GGAGGAGCCTGGGATCACAATATGGGCTGCAGGGCTCTCAACAGGGCAGTGCTGGGAACATGGCCACTACTGCAAGCCTTGTTGACTGCAGGGTTGGCAGTGGGGACAGGAGATGTGGAGCTTGCAGTGGGGGCCTCGTGAGCATTCCGCTGCTGCTGGGAGCCCCACCCATTGGTTAATGGAGCTTCCAGCCACAGGGGAACACCTGGCCAAATGTTCAATTAATGGCTTGATTAGAACAAATTACAAAGTTGGTACATGTTTTTTATGGAACAACTTTGTAGCTCAGGAGTCGAAGTGCCAAAAATAACCCGTATTTGATTCACACCTTGACTTGGTATGCCAGAGGCAAATGGCTGGTGCACACATGCCTCTGGGCAGACAGCTTGGGAGGAGCTGGGGTTGCACTGCTCCTGGTGTCTTCTTGACTGTATGTTGTGAGGCACACATGCAGGTGCCGCTGCCACAGAGCATGGCTGGGGCTCTGGACCCCCGTGAAGCTGTTCAGGCTTTGGGCAGCTGCTGCCTGTCACAGAGCTGGGCTGCTTACAGCAGGGTTTGCAGCCTCCCCGCTGCCTGCTGTGTGCAGCCTGGGCTCCATGGCTGGTGTCAGATGCCCAGAGCCCTGGGCTGACTATGGCATGCTGAGCAAAACAGCCTTGTATGCCATACTCTGGCATGCATGCCAGGGGTTACCAACCCCTGTTGTAGCTTATTGCTTGTTTTACTGCTTGGATGAGCGTGGAGCTGGGTCACAACGTAAGACATGATTAATTTGTTAATCATGCCTGAGTAACATGAGAGGGGGCCTAAGATCAACACCTCTTCACTTGACTGTCTTGCACTAATTGCCATCATTACTTGAATACAAGATGAGTTTTTCCCCCATTGGCAAGGGGGAAAAAGCCCCTTGTCTTATTATCTCATACAAAGAAATCTCAGTAAATACACTGCCTGTCTTTAAACTGATGCCAGAAGCAGCATGTACTCAGCAGTGAAAACCAATTATGAAGTTGATTAAATGGAATCAACACTGACCATAACTATAAAACATATGGCCCACATTGGGCAAACATGCTGACAATGGCAACCTACCACAGGACAGGTTAGTGCAGCCTATTTGCAAGGGGTCTTATGGTAGTGTCCATTGAGCGAAGTCCCCCTCTGCTGATTTTTCTGCCCCCCCGCCCCCCAAGTCATGGTGGGATACACTGTGTACATTTTAACTTCTTCACTCCCATAGCTGAGCCGTGCCTTTCTTTCCCATTCCCAATGATTCCTGTTTCTTCACCAACCTTAAATGCCTGGCAGACATTATGAAACAGGGCCCCAAACAGTTAATCTAGAATACCTCTGTTGCCCCCTCTAAGCTTGCTGTGTATGATTAGCATGGCCATGCCCTCTATGAGGTAGAACAGGATCAGGTTGCCTGCGTCTCATCTGCATATATATTTTTGGAGGATCCGAGGACTCATGACAAGAACATCTGGTTCCAGTCATGAGTGGAAGCTAATTAGCACATGGCTCCTTTGCGGGGGGTATCTGGAATACATACCCATAGTGAGCAGCACTGAGCTGTAGGGTCACCATGGCTTGAAATGCTATGGACTCTTGTGGGTGGGGCCTAGCCCAGTGAACTAGGAGATAAATCGCAAGCCTTTGGCTTTGGACTAATGCGTAGAAAATACCATGATCATGATGGCGGCATGGGAAGTACCCTGGCTGAGGTAATGCAATTAAAATGGCACTGTGTAGTGGAGGGTTGCACCTTTGTCTGCTTGTGGAGAGGACTTCCTATGAGAGCCTCATAGTTAGCTTCCCACTGGCTTGCTTTCATTGAGAGGATCTTGGCTACATGCTGACTTTATGGAAATGGGAAACTCTTCACTAGGCTGGTCCTGCAACCATACTGCTGAGGGCAAGTGAAACTCGGGGACATCCGAAACCCAAATCTCCAGGCTTGGGCCCACACACAGGATGCTTGTCAAAGGATTTGGAAGTATCTGAAGCCTCAGGAAGGGGTGGAGGATACTTGCCAGTAGCAGGGCTACATGTGGTACTTGGATGATTCGAATGGATTTAGACCTGATCTGGCAGACTTGACCTGGGACATGACTCGTGTCATGTTTTTTAAGGATTTTTCCTTTAAAAAATAAAAAATAAAAAAAAAAAGTTTGTATTTTTATGTAAGTAGGCATCAAAGTGCTGCTCAAGTGTGTTTGTGGAGTACCTGTGCTAAAACTTGCAGCAGTACGTGATCACTGGCTTTATTTTCCCTGGTGTAGCAGTGGGAAGAAGATGAGGCAAACCACCAATAGTTAGAGCCTATACCTAGAAAATGTATACTTTTTCAATATATAGAATCTGATTATTAGGGGTTGTTTTATAATCAGAATTATAAGATGAATTGGGGTTCTATTTGAGTAAATATGGTACCTCTATATTCAGCAATCACAAAGCAGAAAATACACACACAAATCTACCTTGTGTATGTAATATTGTGTATGTAAGAGAGACTTGTATATAGGAACAGTTTGGCCTGGTAGCTTGGCAAACTTGGCTGCTTCCAAGGTCTCTTACGGATGGCAGCGTTCTTGTCCTCCTGCCAGAAAAAGTAAATAATTCCTTTGTTTTCAGGAACCTAAAAGCACCAGGGAGGTGGTGCTGGCCCCTACCCTGGGGGTCTTTAAGAAGAGGCTGGATGCCTACCTGGCTGGACTCATTTGAGTCCCGTTTTTGTTTTTAGGGTTTTTTGTTGTTCTCCCGCCCTGGCGGGGGGTCGGGCTAGAAGATCTATTAGGTCCCTTCCGACCCTAAAACTATGAAACTATAAAGCTCCACATTAATAGCAAGTCTCTTGCCATGAATGCTAACTAGGGATCTTCGTATTAAATGAGGCTGTTCGAGGTCATGTCTTACTATGCTTTGCTTTTTAAAGTCTAGAAATGAAATAAAAATGCATATAATCTGTCATTTGATAAAAGTCTATGATACTTTTATTATTTAAAGTATCATAGACTTTTACTCTATTATTTAAAGATAGGTTTATCTTAGTATTTGTTAGTGTTAAGTTTTTATCCATCTCTGTAAATTATTAACATTGCCGTTGACACTAATGGTGGAATATTTTCAAGCACTAAACTCTTTCTTGGGACAACATTTCAAAGGATCCATTGTGTATGCCCAATATCACCAGCAAGTGTGTGCTTCTGAAATTACTTTGTTTTCTGCCGGGTTTGGATGATCCTTGACTTCCTCCCTTTCGCTAGATCAATTTGAGTAAAAACTTATTAAGAGCTTGATCCTGCACCTTTGTAGCTGGTGGAGTTTTTTCATTGACTTGACAAAGGTCATTCTTGGATCTCATTCTTATGTGATTTCCTTGGGGTTTGTTTTTTTTTTTTAGTGACCTCTCCCACTGTGGAACAGGTAGAACACTCCTTAGCATATCCTTTTCTTGATTGTGGTAGCCTGGTTGATTGTTATGCTTTTGGGAGGATTATGTACTTCGGAAGATTCTGGGTCTAAGTATTTGTTTTCCACATTTACAAAAATGCAAAGTGAAAATGAAATGGGTGGCTCTTCACTGGACCATGTAGATAAACTGCTGCTTACATTTTGTACTAAAATTTATGTATAAATTGCTATACCAGTTCTGAGCAATGGAAAATAGGGTCCCATGAGTCTTTTTTGGTGGTCAGTTTGGACAAGAACAGAGCATCTGTCTACTGGAGTTTTCAAAGTTTTGCACATAAACCTAATGAGGAATGCATCACACCCTTCTTTTGTTTCTGGAAATGCAAAGGTGACATGAATCATACATCATGTTGCTGTTCTTTTTCTGTTTGACTTGGAAATTGTTTTCAAAGAAAAGCACATATTAAAGTTAAAAGTTTGCTACTATAATGCTGCTAACGCACTAAAAAATCAACCACAGCTGTGTCTTTGGACTTGCCAGAGATTGTTGCTCTTGGCTCATTCCCAGTTAGAAAATCACCACATATTTAATGCTGCTAATATTTCTGCAGTTAGATACTAGAATTTGCATAAAATTGCTAAATTATCGTTAACAGAAAGCAGTCCTTACCAATAGAGCTGGTGAACAATAGAAACCACATTTCCAATAGAACAGTTCAAGGGAGGTGCTGCTCTTTTAATTTTTCTTTCTAGCTCTTTCCATGATCTTCAGAAATTCAGTAAAGGCCAACTGAAGGCCTGAGGGTACAACCTGGCTCTTCATCTGGGGAAAAGACAGACCTTAACAGTATGCATTGGGGTGGCTGAAGGAAAATGAGAAAAGCTTAAACTGATATAATAAAGGGAAAGCGAGAGAGGTGTAAGCTGACATACAATGGGAAATATAGGAAGTTTTGAAATCGACCAAAGTGATCAAAATGAAACGAAGACAAGAAATGGTCTTGGAATGAAGATGTGCCAAAAAAAAATTTAAAAAACCAGATCGTGACTACTAGATTGTGTAAGATATCCAGAGGTATTCATATTGGTTAAGTACAGACGCTCAAAAAACTCCTGGTGGAAGTGTTCTATCACGTTTTACTTAAAGCGCTATAAGTTAGATAAGTAAAATGTCATACTTTGCCTGTATTATTTGAGAGAGTCCTGTGGAATTATGCATTAAAAGGGATTTCTTTTTTTTTTATAGCTTTCACGGTAAAAGTGGGAGTAAAAGTTTTGTACTGAGCCTTAATTACAGTGAAATATGGAAGAGATTTTTTTCCTAGTTTATATGAATATTAATTAGCTTCTTAAACATAGAGCTCAAAAACCTATTTTATCTAACAACATACTGTGTATTACAAACATATTATTTTAAAATATAAGTTACTGATTTGTGTATCCAGTGCATACAATGTAATTATCTCTGATGCAAATATTTTTGTTCTGTTTCTTTATAGGAAGGAGGCTCAGCTGGATGAAGAAGGACAGTTTCTAGTCAGAATAATTTATGATGATTCCAAAACATATGATCTGGTTGCAGCAGCAAGCAAGGTCCTTAGTGAGTAACATATATTTTGAAATTATACCTAATTTCAAAGGCTGCTGTGTTTGTAGCATGGTCACTAGTTTATTGATCCTTTTTAATGCGTTAATTTAACTATAGGTTAGGTTATGTACATGTATATAAGATTAATAAAAATACCAAATTGTGAAATAAGATGATGAGATTCTAGATAGAGGAAGCGTAAGGATGGCTATGATGAGAGAAAAAAAGACTTGCTCAGAAAAGAGAAACTTTGTATTTCATGTGTATTTAAAATTAGTTTATGCCTTTTATTTCTTGAGGACAAATTTTGTGCTCCTTAAACATTTCAGATTACCAGCTCCTTAAATTGAAATAATCTATTTTATCTGCAGAACATGAACACTGTTACATACATTACCATTTCCCACTGTTTCCCCACCCTGCCCACTTCTCCGGGTAGCTCAGTCTTTAGAACCATTCAGTCATTGACCTCCCTGCTGAGACTACTAAACAGGGTGCTTAGATATGGTATTGATTGTTTGTGATGCCTCACCTCATTTCACATGGAGTCCATTGACTTTCATTTACGAAAGCTCTAAACTGGAATTAGAGAAGGAGAATTATTCCTATCACATTTATTTTACTTGAAGTTATTTTAACCCAGCAGTCCCATGTAAGCCCATGACTTTTGCAGAAGTTGGGTTGCTGCAGAGTGCATGACTTTAGCTTCACTTACAGTGTTGTAAATGAGGAGTAACTTCATTGAGGTAAATGAATCTGGGTCTGTAGTTTCTTTCACCTTTGTGTAGTGATCTATATCTGCACAAAACGGTCATATATGGAAATACAAAGTGGAAAATGTGACTTAAGAGTGACCTGATGAACACTCAGTGCTAGGCATTCACCTGATTGTTGAGTCTTACCTTATGCCCCATGTTCTTTTGGCTTCCTGAGTCTAGGCAGAGTTTATATACTGTCCTACATGTGAATTAAAGATAGTGGTTTGCAGAGAACAAGCAATTCATATTGACATGAGTCCATTTCTCTTTATTTCAAATAGACCTAAATGCTGGGGAAATCCTTCAGATGTTTGGAAAAATGTTTTTTGTGTTCTGTCAGGAATCTGGTTATGACACAATTCTTCGTGTCTTGGGCTCAAATGTCAGAGAATTTTTGCAGGTAAGAATTTTATGCCAAATAATTTAAAACATAGTTCTAGAAATATGTACCCTACATCTGTTTCCTGTTGTAAATAGGGTTCAGTTCTGAACCCTAGGAAACCTGGTTTCTGTTCTGAGCCATGCAGGTGACCCATTTTATGTCTGTAGGCAAACCAGCCTCCTTGCTATTTCCTTTCTGTAGGATTTCATTACTCAAAAAAACTGGCTATATGTCACTGTTTCAAATGCATTCTCATAAAATCTTTAATTATGTGGAGAAAATAGCATGTAACCACATCTTTCATTGCATAGGACAGAGAAACTTTGTTCAAGGAGAACCCAGCAGTGCCATCAAGAAGCCCTTACTGCCTGCCTGCTCCCATTCTCCCTGCCCATGCCAGTTTTTGGAAGTGAGCCAGCGTACCTGTATGAGAGTATTCTTGAATGTGTGTTTCCTCAATGCTGCTCTTAGATACTGTCTTGGGCACACTTACTATTGCATGCTTACAGATAGTCTAAGGCATTTACACAGCCTTATTTCCAGATATGGTGCATGTGAAACAAGTGGGTAGGGCATGCTTTGTGGTGATGCTCCTGTGCTTGGCACAGAGGTGTTGTAGACAACCTTAAAGGGCAAAATTAAGGTTGTACTGGTAATCGGAAACCACATTTCATTTCTGTTGGGAAAGGAACTATCAGACTCACCTACACTTTCTGTTGGTGTTAATGAATGCAGTTTCATAATTTATACTAGAAGAAACTCCCGGTATGTTTTTTTTCTCCAGAGCTCCCTTTAATCAAATACCATAGGTACTTTTTATTTCTATGTGAATAATACATAGCTGTTATTTCTCTATTGTAAGGTATGAGAATCATAGAAAAGTAGGGTGTCAAAGATCTCAGGAGGACACCTCCAACCTCCTGTTCAAGGCAAAATCATTCCTGTCTAAACCATCCCAGTCAAGTGTTTGTCTAACCTGCTTTAAAAAATTCTAAGCATGGAGAGTTTACAAGCTCCCTGGACAGCCTGTATCTCACCTCTGTGCCATCCAAAAGATGATAGCCGGTAGCTCTGAAATTACCTCAGCCAGTTCCTTTAGTAATCCAGTGCATCCCATCTCACCCTCCTGTTTTGAAGCCATCTAGGTTCTCAAAGGAGTACCCAACCTGTGTTTCCACTACTTTAGGTTGCCTGTCCTTGCTGAAGCTACACTTGTCATTGGGTAGCTGACTTGATTCATCAAGACTGAAGTAAAAAGGCATCAAATACTTTAGCCTTTTCTGTATCATCCATTACTAGATTGCCTTTTGCATTCAGTAAGGAACTTACATTTTCTTTGTTCTGCCTCTTATGTCTGACGTACTCGTAAAATTCTTTTTATGGCCTTTTACATCCCTTTTTAGCTGCATCTCAGATCATGCTTCCTTATTTTCCTTGACCTTTCTGATTTTTCTTTCTGCATGCCCATGTGATACTTATATACTCTTCCCTAGTAACATCTTCAGATTAAGGCACTTGGTCTTTGTCCATATGCAGAGAGGGGGACAGATGCATAAAAGATGATTTTCCACCACTTTGGTGCTTCCCTGGCCTTTAGGATAGTGTTGATTTTTGCTGCTATTTTTGTTGAAATACGAAATAATGAAACAATGTAAAAGGAATCTATCCATTTCTGTCAGAATTGACTTGTGTGTAGGAAGCGTAATGAATTTTTTTTGTCACCAGAAAATTATGTCTGAAAATGGTTTGGATTTAAAATGTCAGATTTGGCTAGGTACAGAGATTCAAAAAGCCTAAGGTGGAATCAATCTAAGTTGCGCAGTTTTCTTTAAATGTTGTAGTTTAGATCAGTAGCAAAGAACATGCATTTGCCCTTTGGTGGTGAGGCAAATCTTAGATTGTGTTTCGCCATTTTTAAACCAGTCTGTGTGTCTGACTTCTGTTCTGTTATGGGCATAGATGGGTTTTGGGTGCCGAACTTCTGTTCTGTTAAAGGTATAACCAGTTTCCAATCGCTTATACTGGTAAAAGTGTAATGTCTAGGAACTTGCGATTAGGCAGATATTGTGGAAACAACTGCTAAATCCACAACTGTCCGCAAAATCAACTTAAAAAAAAAAAAAAACTTGATAAAAACAAAATGTTGACTGCCCAGTGGGAACCGGTGGCCCTCATTACCTGGTAGCCTGCTTGGGAGGGGAAGGCACTGGCTGACAGGGCTGCATGAAGGGCAGCCAGCAGCAAAGATGTTAGCCATCCCTCTTATCCCTACTTCCCCATCCTGCTGCTTCAGCAATCAGGGGTAAAGGGTGGGCCCACCAGGAAATGCCCATGAAATTGGCTCTTCATGCCACAAACTTTCCATGAAAATTATTTTGGCTGCAAATTATTAAATAGGTCCCTAGTAGTGTCTATACCTTGGGTTTGAATGTACAGAGAACATAATGAGAAACATGTATCATAGAAAATTAGGGTTGGAAGGAATCTCAGGAGTTCATCTCTAGTCCAACCCCCTGCTCAAAGCAGGACCATCCCCAACTAGATCTTCCCAGCCAAAGCTTTGTCTAGCTTGGTCTTAAAACCTCTAAGGATGCAGATTCTACAACCCTCTGGGTAGCCTGTTCCAGTGTTTTACCACCCTCTTCATGAGTTTTTTCCTAGTATCTAACATAAACTTTCCTTGTTGCAACTTGAGACCCCTACTACTTGTTCTGGCACCCCTAAGAACAGTCTAGCTTCATCCTCTTTGTAATCATCCTTCAGGTAGTTGAAAGCTGCTATTAAATCCCCTCTCAGTCTCTTCTTTTCAGACTAAATAAGCTCAGTTCCCTCAGCCTCTCCTCAGAAGTCACATGCTCCATCCCCCATAACCATTTTTCCTGCCCTTGGCTCGACTCTCTTCAATTTATCCACATCCTTTTTGTAGTGGAGGACCAAAACTGGACACACTACTCCAGATGTGGCCTCACCAGTGCTGAATAGAGGGGCAGAATCACTTCCCTCGGTCTGCTGGCAGTGCTCCTACTAATGCAGTCCAGTGTGTTGTTAGCCTTCTTCACAACAAGGGAACACTGCTGGCTCATCTTCAGTTTTATTGTCCACTGTAACCCCCATGTCCTTCTCATAGTTTCATAGTTGGTAGGGTCGGAAGGGACCTGAGCAGATCATCAAGTCCAACCCCCTGCCATGGGTGTTTGTCTAGCCTCCCTTTGAAGACCCCCAGAGTAGGAGTGAGGACCACTTCCCTTGGAAGTTGGTTCCAGATCCTAACTGCCCTGGCTGTGAAGTAGAGTTGCTGCTTAGCCAGATGATCCCAAGCTTGTACACCTCGGTGCATGGGATTATTCTGTCCTAAGTGCAGGACTTTCTTCATGAGATTTCTTTTGGTCCAGTCCTCCAATTTGTTGAGGTTTCTCTGAATCCTAGCCCTACCCTCCAGCATATCGGCTATTCCCCAGCTTGATGTCATATGCTGACTTGCTGAGGGTACACTTCATGCCATCTTCCAGGTGGCTGATGAAGATACTGAATAAAACTGGCCCTAGGGCTGACCCCTGGGGCACTCGACTTGATCCTGACTCCCAAGTAGACATTGAGCCATTGATTACTACTCTCTGAGCCTGATGATTTAGCCAGTTTTCTATCTACCTTTATAGTCCATTCATCCAACCAGTACTTCCTTAGCTTGCCTGCAAGAATGTTGTCGGAGGTCGTATCAAAAGCCTTGCTAAAGTCAAGGTATGTCATGCCCGCTGCTCTTCCAACATCGGCAGAACCAGTCATCTCATTGTAGAAGGCAATCAGGTTGGTTGTCCATGCTGACTGTTCCTAATCGCCGCCTTCTCCTCACTCAGAAATGGATTCCTTGATGATCTGCTCCTTGATGGATATATAATTTTTATTTTTTTATATATAATTTTTTTTTTTTCCAGGGACTGAGATAAGACTGACTGGTCTGTAGTTCCCTGGATCCTCCTTTTTCCCTTTCTTAAATATGGGCACTATATTTGGCCTTTTCCAATCATCTGGGACCTTTCCTAATCACCATGAGTTTTCAAAGGTAATGGCCACTGACTCTGTAGTCACATTGGCCGACTCCTTCTGCACCCTTGGGTGCATCACATTTGGCCCCATGGACTTGTACACATCCGACTTTTCAAATGGTCCCTAACCTGTTCTTTTGCCACTGTTGGCTGCTCACCTCCTTCCCAAACAGTTGTACCAGATGTAGTAGTCTGGCAGCTGACTGAGGTAAAAAAAGACATGGAGTTACTTCAGCCTTTTCTGTCTCGTCTGTCACTAGGTTGCCTCCCCCATTCAGTAAGGGACCCACCACTCTGCCTGACCTTTCTTTTGTTGCTGACATACTTCACATCCCTTGCTACCTGCAAGTCCACTTCTGCTTTGGCCTTCCTGATGTCATCCCTGCTTGCCTGAGCAGTACTCTTATAGTCCTCTGTAGTAATTTGTATAATCTTCCACTTCTTGTAAACTTCATCTTTGTATTTTGCCTCACTGAAGAGCTCCCTGCTAAGCCGAGCTGGTCTTCTGCCATACTTGCTATTCTTCCTGCACATTGGGATGGTTCATTCCTGCGTCCTCAGTAAGGTTTCTTTAAAATACAACCAGCTCTCCTGGACTCCTCTCTCCCATCAGACTGGCCTCCCAGAGGATTCTTCCCATTAGTTCCCTGAGTGAGTTGCCATCTGCTTTTCTGAAGTCGAGGGTCCTTACTCTGATGCTCTCCTTCCTTCCTTTCCTCAACTCAGGATCCTGAACTCAGTCGTCTTGTGGTCGCTGCTGTCCAAGTTGCCATCCACTACTACATTCCCCACCAATTCTTCCCTGTTTGTGAGCAGCAGGTCAAGAAGAGCAGAGTCCCTAATTGGCCTCTTCAGCATTTGCACCAGGAAGTTGTCCCCAACACTTTCTGAAAACTTCCTGGATTGCCTGTGCACTGCTGGATTGCCGTCCCAGTAGATGTAAGGGTGAGCCAGGGTCTGTGATTGGGAAACTTCCTTTAGCTGTTTGAGGAAAGTCTCATCCACCTCATCCTCCTGGTCTGGTAGTCTATAGCAGACACCCATCACAACATCATCTTTGTTGCTCTTCCCCGACCCTAATCCAGAGACTTTCAAGAGGCCTGTCTGCAGTTTCATACTGGAGCTCTGAGCAATCATGTAGTTCTTTTACATACAGCGTAACTCCTCCTCCTCTTCTCCCCTGCCTGTCCTTCCTGAGCAGTTTATACCCATCCATGGCAGTACTCCAGTCATGCGAGCTATCCCACTACATTTGTGTTATTCCAGTTGCATCATAGTTCCTTGACTGGTATGAGGACTTCCATTTTTTTTTTTCTGCTTGTTTCCCAAGCTCTGTGCATTTGTGAGGTTGCTAGCTGATTTTTCCCTACTTTCTCAGGAAGAATGAGAAGGCCTCCCCTGTTACCCCCTCCTGCTTGTGCTTCCTCCAGGTCACCCACTTCCCCAGTTACTTCAGGGCTTTGGTGGTCTCTATCCCCTGGTGAACCTAGTTTAAAGTCCTCCTCACTAGGTTAGCTTGCCTGTATCTGATAATGTACTCTATTATGCTTTAAAACTGGCTTTTTTAACACAGTTGGGGAGACTTCCAGTGTCATCCATTTGTTATCTATGTAAAAGATGGCAATGAACAGTGGTGGGCATATTTTGCTGTTTATTTTCCTGTGTGCAGCCTGCTGCATAATCAGATATACTGCTGTTCGGCATTAATTGACTGAGCAAATTCTTAGCTTGATAGGAACAGACCAAACTAAAATTCATAGCTTACCCATTCTCAGTTTGGGAACAGAGTATACTCACTCCAACTCCACTTTTTAATTGATTCCTAGATGAGGAAATTGAAAGTAAGTTGTATTACAGGAAAGTCTCTTAAAATAGTGACTGATATTCTTACTACAAAACTTTAGATTAGCTTTGTTTCAGCCTCATTTTGAACAGATGACATTGGTCATTATGCACTATTGTAAATGCAAACGGATTATTTCAAAGTTTTTTGCAGTGACAAAATGAGGTTGATTGTTTTTTAAAATTGCAGTTATGAGACAAATCTATGGTTTATTGTTCCTAATGTCACAGTAGTGGATGATGGTGACTCATTATGCATGTTACAAAAGTCTTCATAAGCTCCAGTGCAGATCAGGACGTGCTCTGGGCTCTGTGTGAATCCATATCATGAATGCTAATAAGACCGTCACAGTATCTTTATCAAAAATCAGATACTGCAAGCCCATGATGCAACAAATAAGTGAGAGCCTTTTGTTTTTTCCAGACTGTGGAAGTAATTCTCTTATATTCTTTGGAATACCCTTCAAGAAGTTTCTTTGTTGATAGGGAAGTATGTTTAAATTATACATGACAGCAGCACTCAGTTAAAGCAACTACAAAGAGGCAATACAATTACATTTATTATTTAGGCTTTTGAGAGAGTATTCTCTCTCTCATTGAAAGACACAGGCCTGAAAAAAATCACTGGTAGTCTTAGCTGAAAGAGAGTGTGCCAAAGAGAGGCAGCATGAAGGCACTGCAACCTGAGAAATCCCAAGTGTGCTGTTATGCTAAAAATGGTCAAAAGAAAATCAATCAAACACATAAGTAGTGGTTAATACCAGATCCTGCAGGGAATAATTTACTTGTCTATTTAATTAGAAAAACAGTCCTGCACAGTAAATCCTCCCTACCCCCTTTGCTTCCAAACGTAGCCAAATAAAGGATAATAACACGTGAATACCTGAACAGCACAGCTCTGAGTTTTAAGATCAGTTGCCTCGGATAGCTTTTTAGCATGTTCATTTTATGACTATTCTCTCTTGTAGGATTCGTTTTTCAAAAAAATGGGGGTGAAAGGTTCATCAAGGAACTGGGAATGGTATTTGAAGTTGTGGGTTCTCCTTGTTACAAGACTTAGCATAAACTAGAGCAGCCAAAGAGCTAGTGACTGGGGGAGAAAGTCTAATCTATTATTATTTTTCTTTGTGAAGCTCTTAGGGTTCCCAGCCAACAATCAAGGCACCTTTTGTGTTATACCCAGTACACGCACATAAACACACACACATTTTGTCTTAAAGTCTTTGTTTATGTTCGATAAACACCATGTGACCAACCAACAGGTCCGGCAGCGGAAGAGAAGATGATAAAAACAAAGTCATCATATTTAATACAATAAGTAATAATCGCAGACCACCAGCTACCTCACCCAGAATAATTAACTGGCTGTGCAAATCATAAATTAGCACTTGGAATTTTGACTAAAGAGAACACACAAAACCTGTACAAAATATTTTCCAAAAGAACTGCAAAGCTTAATTTAAAATTTAATATAACTGTTATAATACTGTATTGGGCCAGTTTCTGAAATGTGTGCTTGTGTTAGGAATGCACAAGGCAAACAGCCCATCAGTCAGGAGAGAGATTCCTGGTGCCAGAAGGAGAACACAAAAGAAAAGCCTGACTGGTCCTGGGAGGTAGACACTGCCCTGGAAGTGTAAGGGTCCTTGTTTCCAAAGCTTTTTATGAATTATGCATTAAATAATCTTTGGAAAAACTGCATAAATAGCATTGGGAGCAGAGAATAGGGTTCTTCATCTGGTACTTTACTTGTATGAGGCCTTCTAAAAGGCCTGTAATACATACCCATATTGTAGTATTTGGAAAGCTTTGTCCCGATAGCCTGTAACAGGGAGCCAGAAGATTCCTGTTACTTTAAGAGGAAACATTAGCGGACTGTTCTGGATCAAGGAGGGCTGGCAGTTAGGAAGCAAGCTAGCTGCTAATGAGCTGGCTGCCATCAAGCAGACAGACTGCTAGATACAGGTGGAGGTCAACTCCAGGAGGGTAACTCACCCAGGGAGTGGAGACAGAGCAGCAAACTGTGCCAAGGCAGACAAGGAGGCAGCCTCTGAGTTAAAGGGCTCTGGAAAGCTGGGCTAAGCCTTAACAGGGAGAGTACCCGAGTCATCATCAGGCACAGAAGGGGGACACCTCTGTGATTCTGCAGAGCCATGTGACAAGGAGGGATAGGACTCAGGCAGCATATGAGCTTAGGTCTTGAGCTTTGGGATCAGCCTAGCCCTGCAAACTGCCAGGGGAGGAACTTTGCCCTGTGGTGACCCTGGCTGAGACTGCTGGAGACCCCGCTACAATGCAGACTAAAAGTAAGGAACTGAGGGCCTTACTGAGAGCCAAACTGTTATGCATCCAGGGGGCTTCTAGTTCTAGTTTTAGCTTGAGGCCTTACCTTTTTCATTATAGTTTACACCCATGGTTTGGGTTGTCCCGTCAGGGAAGGTTGGAGGTCCCAATTGTGCCGGAGGGGCACCCAGCAGTAGTTGAGCCCCTGCCAGGGGTTGGGCTCAAACTGCAGGTAGGCAGAGGCCAAGAAGGCCAAAGCTGAGTGCTGGTGGTGGCGTGAAGCCAAGAGATCTAAGGCTTAGTGCCCAAGCAGGGTGGAGATTGGGCCAGAGAGCCCTTTGTCTGAGCAGGGTGGAGACAGGCCTGGGGCCCTCATCTCTTGAGGGTCAAAATCAGGGCCCTAGTGGGTGGAACTAGGGTCTGGGGGCCCATAGCTTTGAAGAGTGGGACCAGAGCCTGAGGGGCAAGCCCAGGACCAGGGCCCAAGTTTGTGAAGGATGAGATGAGGCTCTAAAAGCCAGGTCTGGTACAGTGGGCCTAGACTAAGAAGGCTCAGTGAGAGGGAAAAGGAAGGCGACCATGCAGGCTGTGGCCCCAGCAAGGAAAAGTGGCTAAACAGTAGCACCAGTGAAGATGGGTGTGGCCATAGGGGAGGTTGGAGGCCACAAAATTAGACCGTAAGCCAATTAGTGCTCTAATGCACAAATTGGCAGCAAGTGAGAGCTCATTGTGGGAGCCTGGGACAGGCTCCTTTTTCCAGTTTGGGTAATTACATCAAGATGTGGCAGGCAAAAGGGAAGAGAGGGATACCCAGAGCGTCAGCGTACCAGGGAGTGTCATGGCCACTCCCATGGCCCAGATTTGCTACATATCCTTATTCATAATTTTGGCAAATGGCAGTACAGAATTATTGGCTAAAATGTATACAAAGATTGGAAGTAGGTATCAGAACCCAGGGCCCCTTCCAAAAGCAGTGCCCAAGTTGTTTGACCTAGAGTTAGGCTCTCACTTGTTTACTGTCATTCTGAAGTCTTTCCTTCTTTTCTTATTGCCTAGCCTTGGCAGTAGCTTTATGGTCAGGGCATTCTGCTGGGATATAAAAGATGTGGTCTTCCCCTGAGTTGAGGGGTACCTAGAATCCGGCCATCTCATGTGCTATGCAAGTTATTTAAGCACTAGATGGTTGGAGGAAGCATTTATTTTACACTCAAGCTAGTGCTAAGACTCTTTATTGAGAGCTTCCATGGGCAAAATAGGATCACCAACCTGAGCCTAGTTACATGAACTTAGCCTTTGCTTGATCTAAGCTAGAGGTGTCAATGGCAAAACAGGACCTGGATCATTGTCTTTATTATTATGATAGGTAAAGTTCATTTGAAGTAATTGTATTGGAATTTGGCCTTAATTACTAATCTATATATTTGTTTAACAGAAAAGCAGTATTTGGCATACAGAGGCTGTTTCCATCGTATTAAATACCAGCTCCTTTTGCGACCTATCCTATTTTACATATCTCCTTAAAAGACTTCTTCCAAGAAGGCTGCATATCAAGCTCCTGGGGAACACATGTTGGATCAGTAGCTCTGGACTGTTTTAAGGCATTCATGGTACACTTGCCTGTGGAGTTGGCCAGCTCCCATAGCCCTTTTTTTACTCTCACACCTTCCTGGCCACTGTAGATATGGGCTCTACGTATCAGAATGATCATACCTAGTCCCTGCAAAGATCAGCAAGGTGTTGACTGCGTGTGTGCTCTTTTCCCTAGCATACTCACTAAGAGCTGGGCTGTACTATCACAGGTTTAACCTCTGAAGTTTTAATTTTGGCGATGGTGATATAGCAACTTAGTATAAACATAAATTTGAGGCAAACTAAGAAAGTGAAGGAGGAAGTTCCAGGCTGAGTACATCCTACAGAATTCATTTGTGAGCAACTCATTTCCTCTGGAGGCTTCCCAAGAGAAAAGACAGCTGCTGGAACCTTTCATAGCCTATGAAAAAGCAAGTTCAGTCCATCTCCACAACTTTGAGGAGCTACAGATGCTAAGTAAAGACATAGTGGTGATCCAACCTGCACATTTAAAACATCTTCATTTTACCTTTCCTGGACCTGGCAAAAACACTAAATAAAACTTGATGTTGAAAAGTCTAAAGGAAAAAAACATTCAGAGATGTGTCTCAATGTTGAAGGACTGCTAAGTGAAGAATCTGCATAATCTTAAAAGATGGGTATATGTTTACGTAGGTTTGCCCTTTTCGTCTAAGCCGTTACATGGCAAATGGAAAAAATGGAGCCATGGTAATGATTCTATAATTAAGGCTGTACCTAGCATTTTATTCTAAATCTGATTTTAATCTAACTTTCCCCTTTTAACCTCCTCATAAATCTATGTTCCAATTTCTCAATTAAGGTTTCTATCCAGAGAAGGGTTGCTTTTTTTGCCAAAGTTTTGGGTTAATTAGACAAGATATCTGGAACATATGGCAAGTTGGAAAAAATGAGAGGCTTTTTATTTTTTGGAAATGTCTAACTTATGTCTTATCTTAACCATGTCCTTTTTAAGACACTCTGCTTTGGATTTATGCAATTGTTCTCAATGACTGCATGTATTCTTAGCAGCTTTAGAGAAGTTTACTCAGTTAACTTGGAAGACTTACTATAACATTTGAAATTATAAACATTTTGTCAGGTCCAGGAAACATTTTGTAGTCATTTTACTTAGTTTTCAAAATGTCAGCCTTCTTTTGAAACCAGTAAGGTCAATCTGTTTTTCAGATATAAACAAGTAAAGTTAGGTCCCTAAATCCATATACAAGCAGTTAACTTGGCAGTTGTACCTTTTCTCTAACTAGACAGGACAGGGTGGCACCCTGCCCTTCTTTCTGCCTGACTTCAGACCAAAACGGCTAACTACCTGTGTCAACTTCATTCTAAGGAAGAGACTGCTGGCCTCCTCATTTTGGTGGGGAAAACAGAAGGAGAAAGATGGTGGTAAATCAGGCAAAGGGATACCATAGGCATTTCCAATCCACTGTGGATGAAAAATGCAAATATTATTGTAATTTCTGCTAACAGCACAGAAAAGGAACTCCCTTTTTTGAGTATTTTTTGCTGGTATTGCTTTTGATGCCATTAATAGACAGAGTCATTCTCCATGGTGGTTACTAATGGTAACACTAGCTAGTGTTGTGAGTCAGCATGCAAGCACCTGAAAGCTCTGCTGTGGAGGGTCTTGGAAATGACTGATGAAACCTCCACAGGTGACTTCATACGGTTTGGGAAATGATAAGGCTAGACCAGCCAGGAATCAGTATGCTAAACTATTATTTGAATGACTTGTATTCTCACATTAACAATTTGCCATGTGCAAGAACCCTTTTCTCACGTGTGTTTGTTTTTTTTTTTAATTCTCTTTATAGAACTTGGATGCTCTGCACGACCATCTTGCCACTATTTACCCAGGTATGCGAGCCCCTTCCTTTAGGTGCACTGATGCAGAAAAAGGGAAAGGACTCATTCTGCATTATTATTCTGAGAGAGAAGGACTCCAGGATATTGTCATTGGGATCATCAAAACAGTAGCTCAGCAGATCCACGGTACAGAAATAGATATGAAGGTAAAACTTAATGGCTTATGCAGATTGAAAGTTAATGTCTTTCATATTATTGAAAGAGCTGTAAGGTATACAAGACGGTATTCCTTTATTCTGTCATCCTCTCCACAAAACTTGTTCTGTCAGTGTTCTCAAAAAGCTCTCCAGGTCCACCTAACTCTCCATTAACCCAAAGACCTTTTGCTGTAATGGCCAGCTTTTCCTTGGTCATACACCTATGATGGCTGCATAAAAAGGAAAGGGCATAAAAGCTCGCATCTTCCAACACTAGTAGGGTAGCTGTATGTGACAGTTTTCAGGCTGCTTTATGCCACTATAAAATGACCATAATGCACCACAGGTCTGGGCCAAGAAGTGAACAACATTATCATGTCCTGTTGAAACTGGATAGTAGATTTTAAATTCCTTACAGTGTAAGTTAGCCAAGATATATGGGGAAATGCACCTTTTTGTATAAGGTGTCATGAAATCTTTAATTAAAATAAGTGATTAGGAATATACTTTTACTTACTTTACTTGCTTATCTGATAGATTGCAACTATAAGAGTATAGTTCCTCCTTCTGACCACTATGGATCACTGGCCCAGTACTGATGAAAGAAATGTATATTGCTTTAAATTCAAAGATAATACTTTGTTCTACTTTGAGTCTAACTCAGGAGTGGGGAAAAATCTAGCCTGTGGGCTGCATTTGGCTCGCCAACTGATTCTGTCCAGCCTGCATTGGGCCACTCGGCCCTGCCTGGCCTAGGCTCAGGGGCCAGCCGCCCTGAGTGGCAGCTTGCTTTGCCCAGCTGCTGCTGCCAGTCCACCCCGAACCCACTGCTGGGGGCACCATGTGGATGAGTGTGCGGGGTTTCTGTGAAAACCAGCCCAGGACCCTTGTAGGCAGGGTGTCCTCGGCTGGGCAGATGGAATGGGGCTGTGGGCGGTCAGGGCATGGCATCTGGGAGTGGGACAGGTGGGCGGGGCTGGGATCTCAGGGCAGTGACCGCGTGGGGCCAGAGCCCAGGGAAGCACTGCAGTCTGCTCCCCATGGATCCCTGTGACAACCACTGGTTCCACAGCCAGGGTCTTGTAGGAAGTGCATTGTGGCTCTGCTCTGGGCCCTGGCTCAACTTTCGCTGGGCCCCAGCACTGGTCCACCCATCCTGCTCCTGGATGCTGCTTCCTGCCCACCCGCGGCCCCATCCCATCCACCTGGCTGAACACACCGCCTGCCTGCTCCATTTGGTGCCCCCAGTGGTAGGTGTGGGGCAAACAGACCCGGGGCTGAATAGGATCAGTTGCCCCTCTTTTCCCTACTCCCTGCTCCCACTAAGCCAGGCCAGTCTGGGTTAACACCCCACCACCCCCAGCCTGCAACAGCTCACACTAACTTCTTAAATGGCCAAATAATTGCCTACCCCGACCTAGTTAAAGCTTGAAAGCAAGGAAGATCTGAAGTATACTGTACTTGCAATGTAACATTTAACTATGAATGTAAGTCACTACTTCAAAAACACATTTGTGTGCTACTCAGTAAATCATCTCATATTTAGGGATTGTACAACAAAAAACATTACATGGCTTAAATGGTGTATTTTGGGGGACTGGATAACAAAGAGTTTGGTAATGAGACGCTTAACTTTTTTTACTTTCAGGTTTCTTCTTAGAATCCAGGTCAAATGTGTGCCTGAAAGTTGGTGATGCCTTTTTCTGTTTAGATTCTACCTGTTTGGTATTCATACTGCAAAACCACCAATCCAATAGGGCTGTGCAAAACAGCACCATTTCATTTCAACTTTTGTTTCGACGGGACATTGTTTCAAGTTTCATTTAGTTTCAAAAGCACTGTTCCATTTTGTTTTGTTGAGACTGTTCCGCTGTTTTGATGTTTCACACGCAGGCTATAATGGGGAAGCACGAAACTGCCTATAACTTTGTCATTTCTTGCCTGATTTGGATGAAACTTGCGGGCATGGTGGCCCCTGCTGAGGCCATGGAGCCTGCCAGCTTTCAAGGACATAGGTGCAGGGGTTTCTTGGACACTGCACTTCAAATTGGTCAGAGCAAAACTTGTGACGTGTGACTGTTTTCTGTCCCTCCCCCAGAGCACTGGGGTTGGAGTGGACCTTAGGGACAGATCACAGTTGCTGGCCAGCTACACACAGTCAATATGACAGCAGTCCTTCCCCCCTCTTTCCCCCTCCCTCTCCTTACTTTCTGGTTCCCTGCAGGCAAGCCCAGCTTGAGCTTCAGAACTTGAAACGTTTCGAAACTTTCAAAACATTTCGACTGCCCTTGTTTCGTTTCAAGGCTGTTTCAAAACCCTTCATTTCGTTTTGATTTCGCTGTTATGAGGTTGAAACAGCCCGTGAAATTTTGCACAGCCCTACAATACAGTAGTCATGACTCTGCTTATAGGCACAGACTGAATGGGTGTCTAAATAACTCTCTTGACAGTTGTTCCTCCAGCCCCGTAGATTGGCAGGGGTAGGGTTGCTGCTTAGTCTGTAGCTGTTTAGATTCTGCTGACATCAGTCTAGTACTTTTTATGCACATTAAATGCGTTAAGGATAATTAAATATTGATTATCAATATACTTTTCACTTTAGTGTCATCTCAGTGGGCTTTTCTAGAGTTTTTCATTACTATATTGCCATTAAAGAGAAACTTAACATCAATCTGAGCTACTGTAACTGAGCAGAGTTTAATTTAACACAGATGTGGTTTATGAGCCAGAGGCATAGCATCCCCTTAAATGTAATTGGCACTCCTGTACTGCTCTGCTCTGTATAGTACACATTGTTTACATTATGTTTTACAAGTTACACTAATTACATTTCTGTGTGATGTTTTGCTAATGGAACATAATCCCTAATTACCACAAATATTAAGGCCTACTCAAAGGTTGGCATGTGCAATTTATCCTGAAATAAACATTTCTGTACCACTGTTGGTTAAGAAGGGCTGTGCTCTGTGACCCTTAATTGCGTTAAATATCACTGTTTCCCAAGCGCGCTCAATGACTTCAGTGGCATTTTTCATGGAATAAGATACTACTTAGTCTGTGTATAGGGTTAAAATCTGCCCTTTAGCATTAGTCACAGCTTTATTAATGCAAAAAACAGTAATTTTCTCTTCATGCTGAGGTCAGACATTAATAAAACCTATTCTCAGAATGAGCAGTTTAAAGTCAGACAAAGTGGCTGGTCTGCTATTGGGGTACGTAAAATACTCAGAAAAGCAGGATCTAAAAAAATGTTAAGATGATTTTCTTTCATCCTAATTCTGTGAACCATATATTCTGGTTTATTTAGCATTTTAGTGCTTCCATCTTCCAGATTTTTGAGTGACATTTTTAAGAAATGATAGTATCATTGATAATATGTTTCCCCCATGCTCCACATTACTGGTTCTCAACTGTTTTAGACTCAAGCCACCTGCCATAACGCGTCTGAATTTAGCAGCACCCTCTGGATTGTGGGCAGAGGGAGCCCCTCATTTTCCACGTGCAGGGAAGACACATTCCCTGCACCTTTGCCTGTATGTACGAAGCTCAAGGATACCCATCACCTCCAAGAAGTGCAGGAGCTGGATCAGCACTTATTATATCTTGTCCATGGTGGTGGCATTTCTGGAGTGGGCTCTCAGGCAGGCTAGCAGCAACAGCCCTATGGCAGCTCCTCTTGTCAAGCTGGGCTGTAGAGGGGCACCCCCTTCTTGCTGCAGATGCTTCTTGGTCTTGCCTCGCACAGTATCTCCCAGAAACAGAGATACAGTGTCCATAAAGGGATGTCATGGCACCCTAGTTAAAAATCTATGCTCTAGAAACAAACCAAAATAGGAAAAACACTAGAGGCCATCATCCACTCAGTTTATTCTTCACCCACCCAACAGTCCCTACACCACCATACCTTTTCTCCCTCTCCACATATTTTTCAACCCACTCCATTTTCAAAAGCTTGGAGAATTCACTTTGCCCAGAGGGTCACTGCAATTTGGATCTGTTGGACCTAAAATAGGCAGGAGCCACGGTTTTTAGGGTTTTATAGGTTAAAAATGATACCTTGAAACAAATAGGAATTGGTGTAAATTTTATGAACAAATGTAATGTGGCCATTTTAGAAGCACTGCAAAAGCAAGTAAGTGTTTGCATTATGCAAAAGCTGAGGTTTCCAGGTGTAGTCCAGACTAAGTGTATTATAGTGATTCAATTTTGAGGTAATAAATACTGTATTGGTCTGATTGCAAGTCTAGCACTTCTTTCCTCCAGAAGAACCACAACATAGCACTTAACTTGCGTGCAGGGTTGACCTGTAATTGGTTCCTCTACCCTCCTGACTTTTGTACTTGCAGCATATTTATGCTTGCAATAAAAATACTAAGTCTGAATTTCAGTGCAGTTTTCATTTTATTTGATTCTCTGATTCTCTGATTTTGTAAGGACAATAGCATTCCAAGGTCTCTATCCATTTATCAACTTATAGTCGGAGGGGAAAAAACAAGGTTTTTATTTGGTTTTTTTTTTCCCCCTTAAATTGAACATCAAAATGTGGGGCTGAATTATATGCAGGGTCAAATTTATTATAAGAACAATACATAAATAGTAGTACTGAATTGCATGTACAGACACAAATATTGGATGGATAGACACATCCAATATTATCTAAAATTAAACTCGGGCAGCTGCCTCTGAAAAACCCCAGGCTTTGCCATGTGCTGCATAAGTTAGTTACATTGTCCTGGTCATGTGAAATGGAAGTGTAGGGTAGGACTCCACCATAACCTGAGTCTGCCACAGCATGGCTGCTCACAGACTTGTTATAGATGGAACTGGAGAGTCCAAGTCCTGCCTGAGAGCGAGCAGTTGCCCACTACTGCTCTGTACTTTCTCAAAAGAAAGAACCAGAACTACACAAAAGTAACTTCTGTTTACTGGAGTGTTATCAAAACCTCCTGGTCAGTGGAACTGCATGCAACTAATAGATCTAATAATCTCAACACAGATGTCTGTTCTTC